GATGCAAAATAGCCTGTGCCGGCGAGGGTTAAAGATCAACTTTTGATTCATTCGAAGCGTTTTGATAAGAGGAACACGAGGCTGGTAAAATTAATTTCATGCAAGTTTAGCTTAAAACTTTTAGTGTTTGTGGAAAAGCAATTGGTTTTCTCATAATACCGATGGTGGCAGTTGCTGTTATTTACGTGCTAAGTCGTTGACCTTAATTAAATCTGACAATATTATTCAGACATAGCGGTAAACGAGCTGCTTGTTGTGTTAGGTTAGGCTCTTTCGGTCGATTTCAGAGTGGGAAGGATGACAGGAATTAGGGGGAGACAGGGGGCCTGGGCGGGAGTCCTGAGCCTCATGCTCCGCTGGGGCCGAGCCCATCACGTGGGTTGGATTGCCCTGACACATGGATAGCCCTGGGCGGTGTTTCATGGTCCCGCGCTGCAGCACGCTGCGCTGCGCTGCCATGCATTGTAGCGGCGGTTGATATGAATTCGGCTCCACGCTAGCGTTACGAGCTTCCGAGTCTGTTTGATGTTTCCATGGAAATCGGAAACCCAATGCATCGGTGCGCACAACGCACCCTGTCCAAGCAAAATTTTACCATCGATGACCTCTGGTGACAGGGTGCGTTGTGCGCACCGATGCATTGGGTTTCCGATTTCCATGGAAACATCAAACAGACTCGGAAGCTCGTAACGCTAGCGTGGAGCCGAATTCATATCAACCGCCGCTACAATGCATGGCAGCGCAGCGCAGCGTGCTGCAGCGCGGGACCATGAAACACCGCCCAGGGCTATCCATGTGTCAGGGCAATCCAACCCACGTGATGGGCTCGGCCCCAGCGGAGCATGAGGCTCAGGACTCCCGCCCAGGCCCCCTGTCTCCCCCTAATTCCTGTCATCCTTCCCACTCTGAAATCGACCGAAAGAGCCTAACCTAACACAACAAGCAGCTAGTTTACCGCTATGTCTGAATAATAGGTATTGTCAGATTTAATTAAGGTCAACGACTTAGCACGTAAATAACAGCAACTGCCACCATCGGTATTATGAGAAAACCAATTGCTTTTCCACAAACACTAAAAGTTTTAAGCTAAACTTGCATGAAATTAATTTTACCAGCCTCGTGTTCCTCTTATCAAAACGCTTCGAATGAATCAAAAGTTGATCTTTAACCCTCGCCGGCACAGGCTATTTTGCATCCTTCGACGGCACAAGGGGGGTGGCACGACCCCCCTCGCGCTTGGCCCCTGATTGAGCTAGAGCTTCGCGGAAAAAACGAGCGAGCGTGTTGCCCGTCACGAGAGGAAGCCGATGATATCCAATTTTAAGGTCCTAGGTCATCGGGTGACCTTCCAGGTCAGGTCAATGACCCGAAAATCGGGAAAATGGGGACCTGTTAGAAAGTCGTAAAGTGTGGCTGCTATGGGGTTTTCCGAGGTGCTGATCACGAATATCGTGTTAGTTTTGATCAGAGATGATGTCTTAAAGCATTTAGACCAGGTCGGGTCAGGTCAGGTCAGGTCAACCGGTAGGGGTCACGACTGGTATTCGTAATACCTGTCATCCGCCTCTGACAGCTTCGTAACATGTTACGAAACTACTTCGTAAAAACTACTTCGTAAATGTTAAAATCACTGAACTCTATAATGTGGAATGCGCATCGGCCGCCAGATGGTGTCCAACGGTGCCGCCATGTTGCGCAGACCAGGAAGCGGCCGCCGCCTGTGTTGGGGAATAGGGAATTCGGGACCTCGATTTACGTTCGGGGATCCTTCGGTCCCGAACCGTCGCCGCGCACAGCGCACGTCCGCACACGCTTGCGTTCAAGGGCGAACTGCATTAGCTGGCGGCGGAACGTAAACAATCAGACGGCCGCGCCATCTACAAAAGAGCTGCCACTATGTTAAGTGGCAGACCCCGCACAATGATTGATAACTGAAAATTGATCATCTGAAAATCCACTAGCCGACAAAGTTAAACTGTTATTATTTAATTACACATTACGAAAGCTAAACCTGAGGCCTCTTGCACCAAAAATACCCACCTGGGTAAAATAATATTTTACCCAAACTGAAAGTTTACCCGTACCTATGGCTATTTTCTCTTGCACCAAACGTCCACGCCACTTGGGTAAAACCATGGATTACCTACTACCATGGTTCTACTTCATCCATGGTAAAACTGCAAATTGCCACTACCTACTCAATAAGTGATAGATAGTATCAAATACGCTCATATTTTTACTTTACAGATATTAATCATGAGGTACCAGTTAACGTCGAATAAACAGCATTATACAGCTTTATATCACAGTGTTCTTGTTTTAGTAAAGTTATCAGTAGATTATTAGAAACGAGTACCTACCTTGTAGCATGATAAAATTAAATATTTACCGTACATTGCGTCGTTGTTATGGTAACCAAATGGTCCTGTCTTATTCAAAAGAAAATAATTATTACAAACTTCATATATTTATTTACCAATCCTTAGAACATTGAAAAGAAATATGCTTCCGGCGGTAAAACACGCCATTCACCTTCTGGCCCAAGGCCATATAAGTTTTCTGGCCCGCTTCCAGTGGCTGGAGAGAGTGGGTGCCTCGGTTGTAGTATCTCGCCTGTTTAGCCTTTCGATGCAGCAATTCGCGCGACACATCTGGGGAGTTGGGTGCCGCGAAATTTGAGGGCACCTGAGGTACGAAAGTTCGAGCAGGGCGACCAAACATGAGCTGTGCCGGAGAGACACCTACCTACACCTTCCGTCGGTACGTTCCGCCAAGCGAGAAGAGCCCACTTTGGGTTCTCGCCCGACTCGAGTGCCTTTTTGAACAAGCGCTTTACCGTGCGAACAGCGTTCTCGGCTTTCCCGTTTGACTGGGGATAGCTCGGGCTCGAAGTGCAGTGAACAATGTCTAAACGGCCTGTATATGCTTTGAACTCTGCACTGGCGTAGCACGGGCCATTATCACTGACAATGATTTCTGGGATCCCATACCGCGTGAACTGTATGTATGTATTACATCAACAGACACTCCACACATGGTTGTGGCTATTCTGTGCCTTAAGTAAGAAAGATAAAACAAAGTGTCAATGAGGTGGGAGGGATGTCACGCAACATGTACACAGCATACATACACGCACACACCGCTCATGCACACACGGTCGTAAAAGCTACTGCAGTACCAGCGACTTGGCAGCGTGCTTAAAAGCAGACGGGCCCAGAGCTCGGGTCTCGATTGGTAGGCGGTTGAGAAGCGTCACAGCTCGGTAACTAAAAGATCGCTGTCCGGTCACAGTTCGTAAAGCCGGCGGCCGAAGACGCCCGTGCTGTCTAGTTGGCCGGTCACAATTGCGCGCGTCGGAAAAGCACTGGAAGAGTGAGGCCAGTTCGGACGGCTCTCCACTGACAAGTATCTTGTGAGCTGCAGTCAAGGTATACAAATCATGCATTTGCCGCGGCACCATAAAACACAACTGATTTCGCGCTCGAGAGATGTGATCAGATTTCCTAAGACCGGTCACTACACGCGCTGCAAAATTGACAACCTTGAGCATCCGAGCATCGTTCGCCGCGGATCCGTTCCCGTAAACTGTGATGCAGTAAGATACTCGCGAAAGCACCAAACTCTGAACTATTGAGAGCAGAGCCCTCTGCGGGAGGAAATGTCTCAGGTGACGGAGACCGATCAGGATGCCGATGCACTTGTGAACGATATCGGTCACGTGTGCTTGCCAAGTCAGATGTTTGTCAAAAATAACGCCGAGATTGTTAGCAGTGCGGCTCTCCTGAACGGTCTCCCCACCGATCCGTACGCTGACAGGAGGGAGGTGCCGGGTGTTCTGTCTGGTACCAAGGAGAAGGAGTTCAGTTTTGGAAGCGTTGAGTTTCAGACCATGAGCATGGAACCATTAAGACAGGGATGCAAGGATGGTCTCCATGCGTTGGATGAGGGATGGGAAATTGGATTTGACGTCGGATATTAGGATTTGGGTATTGTCAGCGTACTGGATCACATGGGCGTCCGGCGCGTGCAGACTGAGGTCATTAGCGAAGATGGTGAACAGGAGAGGACCGAGGACGGATCCCTGGAACACTCCCATGGTGTTAGGAAGGAGCTTTGAAACCACTCTACGACCGGAAGGACTGGAGATAGAGACTGACTGAGAATGACCGGAAAGGTAAGCGGAAAACCAAGTGGGATCTATGTTGTACAGTTCTAGCTTGGAAAGGAGTAGATGATGTGGGATGACATCAAAACATTTGCTAAGGTCCAGGAGACATAGGAGTGAGATATGACCATGATCCATGTTGGAAAGGATACGGTTTGTGACAGATAGTAGAGCGGTTTCAGTGGAGTGACGAGGACGGAAGCCGTGCTGGGATGAGGATAGGAGGTGATTGTGAGACATGTAGGCAAGCAGCTGGCTCTGCACCACACGCTCAACAATCTTGGCCATGACAGGTACAATGGAAATAGGACGGTAATTGGAGGTCATGGCAGGATCACCGGATTTGAAAATAGGGAACACCAGGGAGTGTTTCCAGGTTTGGGGGAAGTCACAGGAGATAAGGCATGTGTTGATAATGTGGAGAAGGATGGGACTTATGGCGTCAAAACAGAGGAGTAGGATGCGGATGCAGATGCCATCAGACCCACACGCACCGGAGCGCCTCATTGAGAACATAACCTCCCGCAAGCCGGCAAGGGTGGGCAGATATGGCTGAGCAGATATGAGCAGATATGGCTCTTATGACATTGATAGTTGACATTGAAGTCAACCGATCAACTTCGACAAAATTACTGAACCCCTCCCTTGAATCAACCCCTTTTAAGCAACCTTGTTAACCCGTCCAGGTTGTCGATGTTACACAGTTACAAACAATCAGACGTTGAACCATGTGAGTGGCAAGTTGAGGTTTCCTTTGCGCTAACATTGCAGGCATACACTTGCCTGTCTGAGTCTATTCGTAGACTGGTGGTTTGTGTTGATTCCGGTGCCAGGGTCAGCCGAGAGTCTGGCCGATGGTGCAGCAGGGACAGGCGTTCCGCTCCAGGTCGTACACCCAGCTTGAAATTACATTGGTGAAGCTGTCGATGAAGGCGAAGAAGGCGTTTGTCAGTAACCAGCGATCGATTGCGACGAAGGCGTATGATATGAAGCCGTATTTACTGTCTACGCATGATACGCCAGGTCGTTCACCAGGTGGGGCGACGTCGGGTAGATGTAGAAGCAGCGAAGCAGGATCATCCACTTCATCCAAGCGCACGCACAGGTCTGTCATGATCGCCGCCGTCACCAGCAGATCGTCTTGAAAGGCCACACGCCCGTCTATGCCATCCAGGATGTGATCGATTGCAGCCTGAAACACCGAACTGCACGCCGAGATGCCGAACGGTAGGGATTTCATTCGATACCGTCCTCGGTGCGTGATGACTGTTGTCATATCCCGCGATTCCTCCGCGAGCTCCAGCTGCAGGAAGGCGTCTTTCAGGTCCAATTTGCAGAACCGCCGTCCTCGGACGCTCGCAAAGATGTCCTAGGCGGATGGCGTAGGATGCGTCGCCATTTGCAGCTGCGGGTTTTTCGCCAGTCGATAATCACCGCACAGACGCACACCGCCATCAGCCCGTGGCACCGTCACCAGTGGTGTTCCCCAGCCGGGCCCGGGCGCGTCGTTTGGACCGACTTTTTCCGCGATCCCGGCCTGCACCCAGCGGTCGAGCTCCTGCTCGACGGCCGGTTTCAGTGCATATGGAGGCGAGCGCACCGGCCGTGACACCGGCCGTGCATCCGGTTTCAGTGTCAGGTGCGCCTTTACTCCACTGATGCGCCCCGGTGTGCCGTCAAACACAGACTCGTGCTTGTTACAGGCCGCCTCCAGGTCCGCCGTCCCTCGGTCCGGCGTGATGTCCATCACCGCCGTCGCTCCGCCGCCCGCACTTATGTCCCAGAGCCCGCAGCCAATTGCGGCCTAGCAGACGGCGATCGCCAGGCAGGTTCACCACGACCAGTCGCAGTCGATAGTCCCGACCGCGAAACCTTACCGAGACGTCTGCCTCACCCCGGAGAGGGATCCAGTGACCAGTGAATGACGACAGCTGCAGCTGAGTAGGTTTCAATCGCAGCCGCGGGATGACCGTGTCCTGCCCCACAGCAGTGACAGGGCTGCTGGTGTCCACCACCATTTTGATGGCCACCCCGTTCACCGGCAGAGTCATTTTTATCGTCTCCGTTAGGTTAACGGCGTTTATCTGCCCCAGCCCCCACATGTCCGCCGTGGCAGTCTGCTGTCGGCATTGACTGCGTAGATGTCCGATCTGCTTGCAGCGGTAGCACCGCCGCGTCTCCGGTGCCAGTCTGACCCACGAGGGTCAGATTCCCGGCGCCCCGGCCCCGTCGGCCGCCGTGGCGCTGGTGCCGCACGTGCTGACTCATCCGCGCGCCGTCGGCTCTCCTGACAGTCCCGCTGAAAATGTCCCGCCGCACCGCAGCGGTAGCAGCGGACCGTGCGCCGCTGGCGGCTCCGGTTACCGTCAGCCGTGCGCTGTGGCCGGACAGCGTTCAGCTGATCCGGTTCCGAGGTCACCACATCGACCTCTGGCCAAGGCCTCGTCTAACATGTTAACTGGGGGGGCCAAACCCCCGCAGTCATCGACCTGGCCCCCCCAGTCAGGGCAAAAAGTCCCTACTGGGGGGGGCCGGCAATAGTCAAAAGGCAAACGAATTTATATTTCGCGGCGTCAGTGCACATAAAAACAAATGCGTAAACGAAACGATGCAATGTGACCACATTGAAATACCCCATTACCTAGGGCTGTTATGTGTTTATTTTGTTTACCTGAACTTTTTTTTTTCGCTCAGCAATACGTTACATTTCATCTTTTCAGGCGACCAACTCCGTGTCCCGGATATTCTTTTTTCATTAATTTAGTCCGAACCTTTTGAATGGAAGGATTCACAAGTACAGAGCCCCCGCCAAGCAGAGCTTTGCGTTGGCCCTGCCCTCTACCCTCCGATCGCGCAATTCGTGATCTATGACAGAATTTAGAGCCCAAAGTTTAACGTATGCACATAGCCGCGCACGGCCGGTCCCCTCACTGACTTCGAATGGCTACGGCCTGCCACCAACCGTAACCATACTCGCCAGGAGGCTCATAAAGATCGTGCGATGTCGCGCTTCGAACCTGGACTGTTATAACCGGGACGCGTGCCCTCACCACGCGGAGTCCAAGGCTCTACCGGCAAAAATTTATCCTTTAGGTATCAATCTGTTGTTTCTGTCCTCGCCCCTCGGGGCGTCAATCTCTTGTTTTTGCCTATCGTCGTCCTCGCTAGCGGCGTCCAACTTCTGGCTGGACGGTCACCGGTGTGCAGCTAGAGTAGCTCCTAATCGTAATGAAGCAGGCTCCCGTTCTGAGTGGTCAAACGTAGGCGCAGATGCCAGATTGGTGGTCTGTCTGTGGGGACGGGAACTCTGACAGCTGGATTATCTTAAGAAGTCGGCATGGAGTCCTGGAGGGCAAATGCCAGCCACTTCGGGTCCCAACTCCCAACTGGCCTCAAAGCACTACTATCTTCATTTTTGTTTAGTTTATAGCCTCTGACGAGTGACGACCTTAAGGTTGTTTCGAAGATCCACGGCGATTACGGAGAATCCACCTGAGAAGACATCAGTCTCCATGTTGATACACAGGCATTACACTGGTCTGAGGGGGCCCTAGTGGGAAAATACGGTCTCCACTCAGATTGACCCTTAAAGCCTGGTATGGATCATACAAAACCAGTGTGGGCTACCATAGAGGCCGACGCACAGGGTGGGGCAGCATAATCGGGAATGCTTTTTGGGCTCTAATCATGAGTAGGCATGACATTATTTTGATAAATTATAGCATGGCAATGAAACGCCCAAAAGTTGTGCATCATCTAACATGACTACATCCATGAGCATGCAACCTCCTGGAAAAGAGCAGCAAAATAGTTCGACGGTGCTCCAAGTGCTTTGCGCGCGCCCATAGACACTAATGTTAAACGAGTAAAACAAGAACATTTTGTTGAAACCCCTGCAATTCCACGTAAAGGTTGCTGGACAGGTCAACGTGTTATCACGGACAATAAGGATTGTGTGGGAATACTTAGGACAAAAGGTTAACGAAATCGTCGTAAAATAACTCTTAGCAGAGGACATACAGATGACTCACTTGAATATAAGGAAGACGCTCTTGAGCATATTAAAAAGAAACAATGCTCAAAACTTCAGCGACCAAAAATCTCACCACCGACTGGAATACGACAAAAAAGAATGGCAAGCCATATAGGGGATTGTATCGAGAATATTCCAGCGGTCATGCAAAGTAAACATCCTGTTGGGGTGATGGACCTATGGGTGGTCTTCAAGGGAGGTGCACGTGGTGCACCCTACTTCATCGAGCCCAGATAAAATGAGCACCTCTGGTAAATACATCCGCACTGTGGCAGACTCATGTGGAGCCGTCGGAACAGAGGATCACTGACGGTCCAGATCACGTCTTACGAGGACTCTGTCTGTGCTGGTACTGCAGTGAGGACGACATGTTATTGTGTAGGGCACCTCCACCTGAGATGAACCAAAAACTTCTGGTCCTTCAACTCCGCCGATTTAAATCCGACCAAATTCTTTACATGGAGCGTTTTTTGGTAGAAGGTTAATGAACAACTTATCATCAGTAAAGACGGTCTTCAGTGCAAGGTACGATGCTGATGGGCGATCATGGACAAGCAGGAGGTTGCACGTGCATGCGCGTGCTTTTGGACCCGCCTTGAGAAGGTCATCGACGCCGAGGGCGGTCACATAGGATGAGAGATAGGTAAAAGGTGACCAATTGATGGGATGTTGCTAAAATAGTGCTTGGAGCTGTATTTTTAAATTCATGACCAAATAATCCCGTTTGATATTTATTCCCGATTATGCTGCCCCACCCTGTAGGTCCAGAAGCTGGCATTAGCCCTCAGAGATCGGCATCGAGCGCTCAGAGGGACCCATCAGAAACCGATGTGGTTCTAAAAAAATGCGTATGGGCCCTCGACATAAGGCTCGGCATGCAAATTCCTTAGACACGGCTGACGGCACTGCCACTCAAACACACGCTCAACAACGAGAAGTGTGATTATTATTGTCTGATGAGGCAATGTGAGGAGGCTATAAACTAATATACAAGCATGGGTCGAATGGCCTACTATTTTTTTTTTTTTAGCTTTCAAAAAAAATATTCATGGTGTCAGGGCTGTGATGAAAAATAAGTGGTCTAAATCCGGTGAGAAAACAGGATTTGGGGGTACCCTAGGTTTGGCTCCTTCAGTCTCTGGCCCCCCCAGTGAAAATTCCTTAGACGAGGCCCTGCCTCTGGCCGCTCGTCCAATGCGGTGGTTGACCGTCCGACGCCGTCCCACACCGCCCAGCCACCGCCCGCAAACGAGCCAAGTACGTGTCGAATGACTCGCCGGCGTACATGCTCGTGCGGTAAAAAGTTACACGTTCCGCCATAAGGTTAGACGTCGGCTGCAGATACTGGCGCAGTTTAGCCACAGCCGTGTCGTATTGTGACGTTGTGTAGCGGGGCTCGGACCGGTCCTGTTGGCCTGTCGCAGCCTCCCCTCTGATTGTATTACTACTACTCTACTTGATGTCAGTGTTAGGCCACAGATTAACACAGATTGGAACCCGAGCGTCGGCGCCTTTGATGTCGGCGACCCCGCGCGCCAACGCCATCTATCGGCGGGGAAATCTTCACGTAGGAGATTCACGCACGCGGGCCGGCTCGCCCGTCACGTTAACCCGCGCCCTGCTGGGGGGGGGGGGTGTTTGAACACCCCCCCCCCTTGTGGTTTTTTGCGAATATCTCAAAAACGGCGGCGCGGAGCGCCGCCGTTTTTGGTACACCTTATCATACATCAATTCTACACATGTTGTGAAAATTTCAGACCAAGGTCATTCAAGGTCAGGTCACCAGGTCACTTGAAGTGACCTCACCTCATAAAAACTTTCAATGTCTGTCATAGCTACACCGAGTGACCGATCGCTTTGAAACTTTCAGCGATTGCTGAGAGCAATAGCATGTACAAAATGTATATCTCAGAATTTGGATATCGATGACCTAAGGTCAGGTCAATTTTGCGACCTCCCCATTATAAGTCAATGGGAGAAAATTGAAATGCGCCTCTTTTGGATGAAAGACATTATAAACACTCCCAAACACCGAATTACAAGTGGTTTAGACACACTGAACTTGAAAATGGTGTCCGTGACCCTTGTTTATGCCCTGAGGTCATCTTAGGTCACGAATGGTATCTAACAGTTTTTCGCCAATAACTTTTGATAGAGGCATGCTAGAGCGATGAAAACGCCTTAGATGTGTTCAGCTCGACGATACGGATCGACTGATATGCAACATGACCCTTTCCGGTCAGGTCATGACCTTGACCTGAGGTCAAATTTTCAAGTTGACCTTTCAAGGTCAAGTCATAGTTCATTCGATGCGTCTTGACGAGAGGAACACGATGCCGGTAAAAGTAAGCTCGTACAAGGCTTGGGTCAAAAGTTATTGCAGAAAAACTGTTTTCGAAAAAATCGGCTATTTTTGCAGTTTTTGCCCCCTGCAGGCAAAACCGTTGACGTTAGGTCAAATCTGAGAGAATTACTCAGAAAGGGCGTTAATAGGGCTATCGAATGCGCTTTTCCGCGGCGCTGTAGCTCTATTGGTTCCCGAGTTATGCGTTGGCTTCTTGGAAATTTTCGACATTCGACCTGGAAATCGGCGAAATTTTGCCTTCAATGACCTCTGGTGACCTGACCTTTGACCTGACCAAAAAATTGACCGAAGTGATTTCGTCATTATTTTTGACGCTCTTTCGAACGCCGCCTTCCGCGTATCGCTACGT